GTGAACACCAGGGGAACCCTATTGGCATAGGAGGAAAGGGACGAGTGATGGCAGAAGTGCAGGAAATTGGTCAGATACGGCTAAGCATCCTGCCAACCACAGTGGCAAGAATCCTTGAATGAGGAAAAAGGTGGACATTTATGAGGCCCTCCTGCAAAAGGTGGCATCATCAGAACAGATGTGATGGAGAAACAGGAGAATGGGATTGAGTCCTCGCAGGACGCAGGTTGTTAGGATGTATAGTTGAGGTAACTGAGAGTCAGGTGGGTTTGTAGTGGATATCAGTGGCTAGCCTATCCCAAGAAACACAAACGCAGATGTCAAGGAAGGGAAGGGAGAATTCAGAGATGGACCAGGTGCAGGTGAGAGCTGGTGGAAACTGGAAGCAAAATTGATAAATTTTTCCAATTCCAGATGAAGAGAAGAAAGAGGATAGGCAAATAAATGAGCTCCATCCCTATGTACTCTAATCAACTTTCTCCACCACACCACCCATTATGAGCACAAATATCACCCTTTCCCAGCTATTTTCAGTTCTGACAAAGGGTCAGTAGACTCGAAACTTTAACTCTTCTTTTGCTCTCCACAAATGCTGCCAGACCTTCTGTGTACCTCCAACATTTTGTTTTGGTTTCAGATTTTTAGCATCAACAGTTCTTCATGTTATTCCTATCGTTTAAAATGTCTAACAGCCTGGCTCGCCATTCAGCCATTAATGCCCAAGAATGCTACATTTCTGAAAGGCTGTTTCCTGATACGGCATGATGGAGGCAGCCGCACACTAGGATAAATTCTCGTACGTATCCATTTTTCCCTGGTAAGAGTCACGAGTTGGCTGGTCGTGCAACTAATCATTATTATAGATGATGTTGGAAATAAGCACAGAAAATTGTCTGTGATCCATGTCCACTAGATACCTATTTGAAACTGCCCAAATCCATTTTATATTGGATATTGAGAATTGGCATAATGCAGAACTCTTGTGTTGGATTAAATCCCAGAGTTGAAATACAATGTTCTAACCTAAACTCCCATAAGCATTTTAGAACACCAGTACAGAAATTAATTAAAACAACTATTTTTCCCCCAACGGAGTGGTATAATAACTACCATCAACAGAACCATTATATTAATTCCTGTGTAGAGAGCTGTGTCTCTTGGAAATGTGATTGAAAGTTTTATATGAGTAAGTTTAAATATAAATCATCAAATATTATATAGAACATGATTGCTTATGTGCAGCTGGTTTATTAGAAAAATTGGGCTGAATTTTATGAGACCTGAGTTTCAGTTTGAACTATGTCTTTTCTATATCTTTTTTCACACTTGATGGAAAATACTAGGGTCACTAAACCCTAAAAGTTTTTATTTATATAACAAGATGATTTACTCATTGCATAATAAGTCATCATCATACTGATCCAGAGGACTAGCTCAAACACATTCAGTGAATTCTCCCTGCACAGCATGGGTGCTCATTTGATTTAACTAGTCTATATATGTAGATTTAAAGACTACCATGATTACTACATGCACATTGCGGGTGGAACGGTGGCTCAGTGGTTTGCACTACTGCCTCACAGCGGCAAGGACCTGGGTTCGCTTCCACACTCTGGCAATTGTCTGTGTGGAGTTTGCACATTCTCCCCATATCCACGTGGGTTTCCTCTGGGTGCTCCGGTTTCTTCCCGCAGTCCAAAGATGTGCAAGCTAGGTGGATTGGCTGTGCTAAATTGCCCATAGTGTTCAGGGATGTGTAGATTAGGTGGGTTATAGGGGGATGGGACTGGGTGGGATGCTCTGAGGGTCGGTGGGGACTTGTTGGGCCAAAGGGCCTGTTTCCACACTGTAGGGATTCTATGATCTGCTGCATGCATGTCTAATTTCCTGATTTAGACAATGCCTGACATTGTCACTACTGTTTGGTGACTTATAAACCACTTCTTAGCTCCACGCAAACAGATTCTACATCCTATCTTTGAATTAGAGATTCTCTCTCACTGATACACTAATTGTGTCTTGCATTATGAGCACTATACCACCTCCTTTTCCTTTTGGGCCTATCCCTCTAAAAGTCGAGTAACCTTTAATATTCAGTTTCAGTCATGGTCACCAATAAGCTGTGTCTCTCTTATGACGAATAAATCATACCCTCTTACTTGTACTAATGCCACTAATTCATCTATTTTGTTGCAAATGTTACATGCATTCAAATGGAGAGCTTTTAATTTTGTGTTTTCTATTCTACACTATTCTGAAATCTAACCCTTGTTGAAGGGTCTAGGCCCGAAACGTCAGCCCCTCTGCTCCTATGATGCTGCTTGGCCTGCTGTGTTCATCCAGCCCTGCACCTTGTTGTCTCGGATTCTCCAGCATCTGCAGTTCCTACTATCTCTTGTTGATTCTATGTTTTGTTTCTACTGCTTTCTACTTTCAGTTATACCGTTTTTCCATCCGTAATCAGCTTTGATTTTGTTCTGTCTGAATTTCCTCTCAAGTTCTCCTCCCACAGACAAGCTTGTTAAAGCCTTCTCTGACAGTACTACCAAAGTTTTCCTGCTAAGATGTATGCTGTTCTGTTTGTACGGTGACCCCTTCTGCAAAACTGATCACGGTGCCCCAAAAATCTAAAGCTACCCCTCCTGTCCCATTTTTCCAGCCATATGTTATTTTACTCCGTCGTCCTGTTTTTGCATTCTCTTACATGTTGTACCGGGAGCAATGCTGAGATTACTTACTTAGAGTCCTGCTTTTCAGTCTCCTGCCTAGCTCCGTAAGTTCTACTTCTGGATTCTCATCCTTCTTTCCACCAATGTCATTGGTGTCAATGTCGTCCACAACATCCGGCTCCTCGCCTTCCACCAAAAGAATGTCCTACAGCTATTCTTTGACATGCTTGATCCTGGCACCAGGAATGTAGTATACCATCCTAGAGTCCCACTAATCTGTGCAGATGAGTCACAACTTGGCTACATTATCTGATGAACTGTCTCCAGTATCCAAAATGGAAAACAGATTTGTGAGTCAGGTCACCTCAGAAAACTCCTTCGTTCCTGCCTGATCTTTCTAGACTACTTACCAGTCACCCATTCTGTCTGTGCCTGCCTGGTCTTGACCTACGCTAAAATGTACTATCCAGATAGTTCTCGCTTCATGGATACACCACAATGACTCTAGCCAGTACTCAAGTTTCAAAACTAGCAGCTCAGATTTTTGCAGCTGCCAATGCTATTTGCAAGTATGATCGTCCAGACCGCGTGAAGCGTACACAATTCCGCACGTGACGCAGGAATAATCATTGCACCTTCTCATAGCTAACTTTTCCTCCTACCTTTGTATCACCAACAAACTTTGATCTAGTGCATCCGGATTGCTTACCAAAGTCATTGATGTGAGTTGTAAGTTGCTGAGACTTAGACCTCTAATCTTTGTGACATTTCACTTGTTACACCTTGCCATCCCAAAAATTCTTACTATCTGATTTCTATCCATTCACCCATTCATCCTAGTATGCTCATATTATTACACGCAATATGAGCCGTAATTCTGTGCTTAGCCTCTTGTGCAGCACTTTATCAAATCTATTCTCGAATCCAAGGACGCTACATCTGGTTTCACCTTACACTCTCAAAATATTTTTGATATGCATATCTTGACTATCAAATCAGATTTTAATAGATTGGTGCAAAAAGTGATGTGTTAACTTTATGCCAGTGTGAATGTGTTGTGGATGTTCCAGTAAGTACTAAGCCTAATTTCTTGTGCTTCTCTTCACAAGTTAATTTATAATTGATGTAACTGAAGCTTTTTTAATTATATCCAGTGTGGCAGATCCAATTTTTCAATCAAATTATGAAATGGAGTTGATTATTTAAAATTGAGGCAAAAATTAAATAAGAATTAAAAACGAGAAGAGGATAAGTGTAAATAAGAATTTGGAGCATGGGTTACACATCTGGTGAAAAATGATGAGAGGATTAAATGATTCAGTGATTGCTTTGACTTGTTTATTTGCAAATAAATAATGTAGTGGTTGATTGTCCATACTAGCTATGTTGCTCCGTTAAATTCATCTATTGGAGAGATTATACATGTCTTGCTCATTAAATAGGCTTCAAAATGAAAATGCAATTAAATATATAAATAGGGATAGTAAATGAAGTTTGTATATTTAGCTAAGATCTGTCTGTATATTCCTTTTTATTATACAGGCAGTTCTTTGGCTCAAGACAGAGGAAGGCTCCAAGCAAGGATTGAAACGTTAACGTCAGAGATGGAGTTTCTGAAAAAACAAAATGAACAGGATATGAATACTTTGAAAATAAAAACAAAGGTCGTAGATGATCAAACAGAAACTATTCGAAAACTTAAAGAAGTAAGTTCCACATTGTAAAAGTTAGCAAAACAGTTGCTGCAAAATTCTGTTCCGTAGCACCTGGTTTTTGACACTGTGATTGATTGATTTGCTGTTTTGCCTAAAATGTAATCCAAAGTGTATGCTCATGCTTCTCTTCAACAATCCATACTTTTATAGCAAAGATCAGAAATCACATGACCAGGTTATAGTCCACCAAGTTTATTCGAAAACACAAGATTTCGGAGCCTCACTCCTCCTCCCAGGTGTTAATGAGACAGGCAGCATCTGACACAGAATTTATAAGTAAAAGATCAAGGGTCACACCACTGATGAGAATGTATTAAACAAACCTAAGATGCTGTTAAATCTTTAATCAGTTAGAAGATTTTAATTCATTAATATGTATATGTAAATCCCCAAATCTCTTTCAAGTTACTGCTCTGAGAGAACTAAATGTTTTATTACTATGAAGAAGAGGTGGCATTTTAGATTAGATAATGTATGTTAGGTGTAAGGCCTTGTTTGGAATCTGTTGGTTTTGGTTTGGAGTTCGACTGATTTTATTTCTAAAGTAGGAATTTATAAAACACAACATTGACAGACTGTCTATAAATTGTGTGCTTTTCGAATGTACCTGCAAATACAAATTCGCCCCGTGTGTGTGTGTGTGCATGCATGTGAGTGAATTAGTGTGTCTGTGAGGGGGAGAGTGAGTGAGTGAGTAAGCATGCCTAACGTGCATTGTCTGACAGAAAATATCACCTTTTTTTTTTACACTGATAAAACCTTTAGTTCTCTTTAGTTGGGGAGCAGCTACTTTTGTGGATGATGCCTGCTTCCAGCACACACAACTTCTTAAATTTGATTTACACAATGAATTTTTTCAATCTATTGGGCTGATTCAGGTGATATTTGAGCTAATTACCCTAGAAAAACTAATGCAGCTTCCTTAGTACTCATCCTCAGAGATGCTGCACTCTTGCAGGAAAGTTTTGATCAACATAACAACTTTGAATGGAAATATTATAGTTCCAGTAATTTAATGATGAAAAATCGATTTTAAAAATCTATCAAATATATCCTACATTTGGAAAGGTTTTGGTGAAGTATAAGTTTGCGTTTAATCCTTTATTGTGTACCATATCTGAGGACAGTAGAGCCCGTAAAGCCTTGTTCTCTCTGCTGAGTAAGGACCAAAGCCCAAACAGAAAGTATTATTTGCTCTTGCAGGGTTTACAAGAGAGAGATGAACAGATGAGAAAAGTACGTGAGGAAAATCTGCAGGATAAAAGAGCCTTCAATGAGCAATTACGGGATGAAACTGCAGTATCTCAAGATCTTCGAGAAAAAGTGGAGAGACTTGTAGAACGCAAAAGAGAACTAAAGCTGCAACTTGAAGAAAAAGAAGCTGAGTTGGAGAAAACAAAAATGGCCTTTAGGTAGATGTTAAATATTGTACCATTCTGACAAAGGTGTATTCTCAGTTGAATAGTGTTGCAATACTGTATTTTAGTTTCCAACATTCATTAGGCTTATTGTGGTCAATGATATTGGGCCAGTTGTGTTCAATTTCAAATTTTCTCAAGGAATGTATTATTTTTAACTGTACAATTTAGCTTATATTACCATCCTTGCACCCATTTTCTATCATTCACCTTTAATTCGTAACATATTTTTCTAATGTACAAGCAGTATCCTCATGTATTGAAGATGGAAAAAGCTTAATTTGCTAAAGTACTTCTATCTATTCATTCATTTTCTCTTTTTCCATTGCTTTCATTGATCTTTTAGAGCAATTTTAGCTGATTTTAATATAAGAAGGCATCCGACCAAGGTGAACTGGGAACCGCTATTTTTAGGAAAATTCGCATCAGACCAGTGGGAGCCATTCTAAAAGAAAATAATAGCATGCAGGGCCAGTATACTCCCATAAAAGTAACAGGGAGAGGACAACAAGTCCAAGGAACCCTGGATGTTGAGGAATGTACAAGATTGGATAAGGTAAAAGAGACAAATTGATGGTAGATACCAAGGTTGACAAACAGCAGAAGCCCTGTGAGGTGTAGAAAGGTAGGGGGTTACTTTAAAAAAAAAAAAAATTAATAGAGGAAAGCAGGGGCATGAATAATCACTGGTGGGTGAAATAAAGTAAATTCCAAAGGGATTTTATAAGTATTTTAAGGGTTAGAGAAGAACCAGGGAAAGCGTAGGGCCTACTGGGGACCAATGTCGCAAATTGTATAAGCCAGAAGAACGTCGATGAGGTTTTAAATTAGTACTTTGCATTGTATTCGCTATAGAGAAGGCCAGTGTTGATATTGAAATCAGGGAAGGGGTACTGTGATAAATTTGAACAAATCAGTACTGAGAGGGAGGAGGTATTAACAATTTTAATGGGATTAAAACTGGATAAATCCTAAGGCCCTGATGAGATATATCCCAGTTCCTGTTGACAGCACGGGAAGAGATTGCAAGGGCTCTAACATTTACTCTTCAAATTTTCTATGGTCACAGGATGGGTGCCAGTGGACTAATAGATGACAAATGTGGTACCATTATTCAATAAATGTGGTACCATTATTCAATAAAGGTGGTAGAGATAAACCAGGGAATTACAGACTAGTGAGCCTAACATCAGCAGTAGCTTTTGGGGATAAAAGTAATCTTCATTTGGAGAGACAAGAATTAATCAAGGATACTCGGTTTAGCTTTGTCAGGAGGAGATCATGTCTGACAGGTTTGATTGAGTTTTTTCAGGAGGTGCCGAGGTGATGAGGGTAGTGCATTTTATGTCATCTACATAGACTTCTGTGCCACATGGGAGACTTGATAAGAAGCCCATAGGATCCAGGACAAATAGGATCCAAAATTGGCTTTGTGGTAAGAGGTAAAGTGTGCTAGTCAAAAAATGTTTGTCTGACTGGAAGCTATCACAAGGTTCAGTAGTAGTTACTTTGCAGTCTGCTGTATATATTAACAATCTAGACACACATATGGAAGATTTGATCAGTTAGTTTGCAAATGATCCGAAAATTGTTGGTGTGGTAAATAAAGACAAAGCAAGCCTTTAATTACAGGATGATCTAGATGGGCAGGACAGTGGCAAATGGAGTTTAAACCTGAGCTGATTTTGGGAAAGACTTAACAAGGCAAGAGGGTACACGCTGAATGGTAGGACCCTGGGAATCGCAGAGTATGCATGTCCATAAATCTTTGAATACAACAAGGCAGGTGAATATAGGATGGTTAAAATAATACATGGGACACTTGCCTTTGTTAGTTGAGGCTTTGAATACAGGTTATGATGAACAGCATATGTTATGCCACAGCTGGAGTACTTTTTGCAGTTCTTGTCACCACATTATAGAAAGGACGTGATTACACTAGGCACATGCAAAGGGAAAAACCAGGCTGTTGCCTGCTGTGAAATGTTTCAGCTATGAAGACAGACTAGAAGAGGCTGAAATTGTTTCCTTGGAACAGAGAAGGTTGAAGGGGAACTGAACTGAGGACTGCAAAATTATGAGGGACACAGACAGGGCAGATATAATGGATATTTTCCCCTTAGTAAAGAGGTGAATAAACAGGAGCATAAATTTAAAGTAAGGGGTAGGCGGTTTATAGGGATATAAGGAAGTTATTTTTCACTCTCACTCGGAGGATGGTAAATAGCTGGAAGTCACTGCCTGAAAGGGTGGTAGAGACACGAACCATCACAACAGCAGCACAACATGAAACAAGTGTTTAAAAGACTATTTGAAAAGCCATAGCATACAAGGTTATAGGACTACTGCTGGGAAATCTGATTAGAGTAGATTAATGTTTGCTGATGAATGCACTCATGATGGGCTGAAGGGTCTCCTCCCATGCTGTAATACTTTTTAATTTAGAGTCATAAAATCATACTCGACCGTTTACCTCCTCTTCAGTCGACTCTCATTTAAATTGATGAGAAGAGTCATAAATGGTGCTATCAAGCAGGACTTGCTTAGCACTTTGCTCATTGACGCTCAATGTGCATTCTGTTAAACCCACTCCAGCTCCTGACATCATTATAGCCTTGGTTCAAATCTGGACAAAAGAGCTGAATTTATGTCTCCTTAGCCTTGGTTCCTGAATGCACAATCTTAGATCAATGATAAATATTTAGAAAAGCACTGGCCCTTGTACCTATCTGTACATTCCCTGCTCTGTCTCCTGTCACCCAGCCAACTTCATATCCATGTCCCCTTTCCTTTTGATCCATGGACTTCATTTTTGCTAGCAAGTCTATTATGTGGCTTTTTTGTTTTCAATTTGTTTTAGAATTCCACATATACCATATCAACCACATCGCCCTCATTAACCATCAACAAAAAAAACTCATATCAAGTTAGTTAAATATGCCTTGTTTTTTTAAAAAACTCCATACATTTCTTATGTTATTATGTATAACTTTTTGCAAGTCTGCAATCCTTCAACACCATCTCGATATCTAAGCAGGATTGCCAGAATATAGCCATACCTCTGCATCACCACCCCTACCTTCTTTGGGATCCTCAGATTTGTCAAATTGAATTAAATCTTGATGACTTACCAACTATCACTCGGTTAAAACCTGGAACCCTTTCCTAACAGCACTGAGAGACTGCAGTACTTCAGGGCTCTCACTGTCCTAAGGACAGCTAGGGATGAACGATAAATGATGACCCAGACAACGACACCTGAAGGAATAAAAAATCAAACAACCAACTAAGTCTGAAAAACATCTTTTATTAATTACTAACAGCTGTATATTAGATCTGATTATTTTTATCTCCACATTATTTTGTTCTTAGTGTTGCTAATAAGAAATGGCAAGACAAAGCTGAAATACTGACAAAGCTGGAAACGCAGGTCAAACAGATGAAAGAAACCTTTGATGCCAAAGAAAAAAAACTTGTTGAAGAGAGAGACAAAGCCTTGCAAGCTAAGAAGTAAGGTTTAACTATAAGAGGTTTTTATAATTCAATGTATTGTGTTTACTATATCAGAAATGCTATTTATTGTACAAAAGACTTAGAATAGTTTTTGTCATAAAGATGTACAGCACAGAAGCAGACCCTTCGGTCCAATTCGTCCATGTTGACTAGATATCCTAAATTAATCTAGTCCCATTTGCCAGCATTTGGCCCATATCCGTCTAAACACTTCCTATTCATATACCCATTCAGATGCCTTTTAAATTGTTAGTGCAGACTTGACGGGCTGAAGGACCTCTTCTGTACTGTATGATTCTATGAAAAGAAGTTGTGAATGGTTGGTTACCAGTCTTTTAACTATTTAACTGTGAACTTGTATCCAGTAACCCTGCCCGAATGACCCAAAACTTTTCCATTGCATCTGCTACTCTTTTCTATAATTTGGCTAGCAAAGTTTGTTTTACAATTACTGTTCAGCATTTTCCTTGACTTGCCTAAACTAACAGTTTATTTTGTTTTGCAATTTTTTCTGTTATTTGTAGTATTTTATTATTTCTGTTAAATAACAGATTCTACTGCTCAACTGTTGAATTTCTGAATCATCATATCCCTTTGCTTCTAAATTTCAGCTCCACAGGGAAGCTCATAACTGTTATGTTCCAGCCCTAATTTTATCGTTAAAAACCTATTGGTTGCCTTGAAACTAATTAGAAACATAGAAGATAGGAGCAGGAGGAGGCCATTCGGCCCTTTGAGCCTGCTCCACCATTCTTCATGATCATGATTGATTGTCCAACTCAATACTAAATAGCTTAATCCTGCTTTCTCCCCATAACCTTTTGGTCCCACTTGCCCCAAGTGCTATATCTCGTCACTTCTTGAATACATTCAATGTTTTGGCATCAACTACTTCCTGTGGTAATGAATTCCACAGGCTCACCGCTCTTTGGGTGAAGAAATGTCTCCTCATCTCCATCCTAAATCATCTACCCCGAATCCTCAGACTGACCCCTGATTCTGGACACACCCACCATCCTCCTGCATCTACCCTGTTTGGCCCTGTTAGAATTTTATAAGTCTCTATGAGATCCCCCCCCCCTCATTTGTCTGAACTCTAGCGAAAACAATCCCAACCTAGTCAATCTCTCCTCATACGTCAAACCCGCCGTCCCCGGAATCGGCCTGGTAAACCTTTGCCGCATTCCCTCAAGCAAAAGTATCCTTCCTCAGAAAAGGGGACCAAAATTGCACACAATATTCCAGGTGTGGTCTCACCAAGGCCCTGTACAACTGAAATAACACATCCCTGCTTCTGTACTCAAAACCTCTCACAATGAAGGCCAACATACCATTTGCCTTCTTTACCGCCTGCTGCACCTGAATGCTTACCTTCAGCGACTGGTGCACAAGGACACCCAGGTCGCGCTGCACACTCCCCTCTCCCAATTTACAGCCACTCAGGTAGTAATCTGCCGCCTTGTTTCTGCTTCCGAAGTGAATAACCTCACACTTAACCAAATTATACGGCATCTGCCGTTGATTTGCCCACTCACCCAACCTATCGAGATCCTGCTGAAGGATCTCTGCATCCTTGTCACACTCCAGGAATTCCTCCTCTACGGCATTGTGGCTAATTTGAATTGTCCAATCTACGTGCAGATTAAAATCACCCATGATCACCAATGTTCCCTTAGTACATGCATCTCTAATTTCCTGTTTAATGCCATTCTCGACATCACCACTGCAGTTTGGGGGTCTATATATATGACACTGTTGTTTTTTGCCCCTTGGTATTTCTCAACTCTACCCATACAGACTCCACATTGTCAGAGCTAATATCCTTTCTCACTGTTGTGCTAATTTCTCTTCCTCAATGCCACTCTGCCACCTTTTCCTTTTTGCCTGTCCTTGCTAAGAACTAAATACACTGGAACATTCCGTTCACATCCCTGGTCATCCTGCAGCCATGTCTCCATAATCCCAATTATATTGCACCTGTTTACATCTATTTGTGTGATTATTTCATCCATTTTATTGCAGATGCTTTGTGTATTAAGGCACAAAGCTTTTAAGCTTGCCCTTCTAACGGTGCAAACATCCTCTTAGAGCTTCCCAGCTTTAGCTTCCCACCTCGCCGCCTTTCCTGTTTGCTGCTTCTCTCCAGAACCCTCTCATTTGTTGCCTATCTTCCCCATCCTCTTGCTCTCAGCCCCTAGAACTCACCACTTCCCTGCCCAACCCTCCTGCTTACAACTTCCATCTACCATTCCCTGTCACTCATTGTGAGCAAGAGCTTGGCAGAGGGGTGTCAAGAGAAAGGGGGCGATCAAAAGAGAACGTCAGGGAGAAGTAGAAGTTGGGGAGCAGGTCAACATGTTGCGATTTGCTTTTGAGACTGAGCATGCTGAATAATTACAGTAAAATAAAAAAGGCAGCACTGTTGAGGAAACATTCCCAGCTTACCAACTGCACTATTAGTGACAATGTTGTAGGTGATGATCTGTTTAAGAACGAACCAAGACATGCTCTAAAGGGGCGGCTAATATATACGGAAGAATACATTTATGAGCCAGGAGAAGAAGGTTCTTGTGGCACAGTGATAGTATCCCTACCTCTGAGCCAGGAGATCTGGGTTCAAGTCCCACCTGCTCCAGAGGTGTGTAATGCCATTGATTGGAAAATATCTCCCCAAGTGTCTCTGAACATCAGTATCTGTAGCTTCATGACACAAAAAATGAGCCAGGAGGCCCAGAATCAAATCCTGCCTGCTCCAGAGGTATGTAATTCCATCACTGAACAGGATGATTGTAAGATATTTAAAAAAAGGGTTAATTTCCCCAGTAAGAAAGTTAGTTAGGAAGAAGAGAGTGTAGATTGGAGTTAGGATTGGCCTGTCAATTCAAATAAATTGTTGTGGAAGACCATGTTATAATCACCGTTGATGTTATTGCAAGGCCACCTTATCTGTACCGAGAAGATATCCTATATACCTTTAGTCCCGTTTGCCAGCACTTGGCCCATATCCCTCTAAAACCATTCCTGTTTTATATGCTCATCCAGATGTCTTTCAAATGTTGAAATTGTACCGGCATCCATCATTTCCTCTGGCAGCTCATTCTATACACACACTGCCCTCTGCATGAAAAATTTGCCCCTGAGGTTCCTTTTAAATCTTTCCCTTCTCGCCATAAACCTATGCCATCCAGATTTGGACTCCCCCATCCCATGGAAAAGACCTTGTCTATTTACCCTATCAATGCCCTTATGATTTTATAAACTTCTATAAGGTAACCTCTCAGCCTCCAACATTCCAGGGAAAAAGCCCCAGTCTATTCAGCCTCTCAAACGCTCAAACCCTCCCACCCTGGTAACATCTTTGTAAATCTTTCTGAACCCTCTCAAGTTTCACAACATCTCCCTATAGCAGGGAGACTAGAACTGCACAAAGTATTCCAGTAGTGACCTAACCAATGTCCTGTACAGCTGCAACATGACCTCCCAACTTCTATACTCCATGCACCACCCAATACAGGCAAGCATACCAAACGCCTTCTTCACTATCCTGTCTACCTAAGACTCCACTTTCAAAGAACCATGAACCTTTATTCCAAGTTCCCTTTGTTCAGCAACACTCTCCATGACCTTACCATTAGGTGTATAAGTCCTGCCCTAATTTGGCTTTCCAAAATGCAGCGCCTCACGTTTATCTAAATTAAACTCCAACTGCCACTCCTCAGCCCATTGGCTCATTGATCAAGATCCCATTGTACTGTGAGGTAACCTTCTTCGCTGTCCACTACACTTCCAATTTTAGTGTCATCAGACTGAAAACTGGCTTAATGAGTTTCTTTTTATTTAATGAGTTAGACTTGCCCTGAAATACAAGTGTGCAATGCTGCAGATCTTTTTTAACAATAAAACAAGAAGATTATTATTGTGCAAAAGAAAAGATCAAATAGACTAAACCAAGCTGTTTACATGTAATTTGCAAGTTTTTCTATGTTTGCAGATGACAAAGTTGGGTGAGAGGGTGAACTGTGTGGAGGATGCAGATTTGAACAAGTTGCCAGGTGAAGTCAAATATGGATAAATGTGAGATCATCCATTTTGGTAGCAAACACAGGATAGTAGATTATTATCTGAATGATGATAGATTAGAAAAAGGGAAATTGCAATGAGACTTGGATGTCCTCATACACCAGAAAGTGTGTGTGCAGATGCAGAAGGCGTAAAGAAGGCAACTGTTATGTTGGCCTCCTTAGTGAGAGGATTCAAGTACAGGAGCAGGAATGTCTTGCTGCAGGGCCTTGCTGAAACCACACCTGGAATATTGTATGCAGCTTTGTCTCCTTGCCTGAGGAAGGATGTTTTGACTGAGTGCTGCGAAGATTTACCAGACTGCTTCTCGGGATGGCAGGACTGACATATGAACAGAGATTGGATCTGTTAGGACTGTATTCGCTGGAGTTTAGAAGAATGAGGCAGTCATTGAAACCTATAAAATCTTAACAGGACAATACAGCATAATTGCATGAAGGATGTTCATGATGACTGAGAAATCCAGGACCAGGGGTCACAGTTTAAGGATACAGGGTAAGCCAATTGGGACTGAGAGAAGGAGAAATTTCTTCACCGGGAGAGTAGTGAGCCTGTAGAACTCTCTGCCACAGAAAGCGGTTGAGGCCAAAAATTGAATGTTTTCAAGGAGTTTTATATATTTCTTATGGCTAAAGAAATCAAAGGGTCTGTGGTGAAAACGGAAACTGGATTCTGAATTGAATGATCATATTGAATGGTGGACAAGGCTCAATGGACCAAATGACTTTTTCCCTTGTGTTTTCTATCTTTCTATGAAAGATTTCAAAACACACAGTAAAAATACATTGCTATCACTAAAGCTCTACTCAAACAACAGAGAGAATTCCCTTCTCTACCGCATACATAGGTTTCATTGAACTGTTGCTAACAATTCAAAGTCTTGAGAGTTTGATAGCCCTTTCTTCAGCTGCTCACACTTAGATCATCTCTGCTTTGAATAGCCCTTCCAGGGTTCTCACTGAATACCTCTGGCCGGGAAATTCCAAACTAAACCCTTAAACTGAGGTACCCTTTTTCCTCACTTTTCTGAACTAACTTCTTGCTCTAGGAAAACTACCTCATGCATCCAGTTTCAACCAGGACTTCTGTGTACTAAATCCAAAAGCTTTCCAAGCTATGGACCTTCCCCCTCAGCAACAAAGAAAACCATTCCTGATCCTTCTAACTGAAAACAGCCAAATGCACTTCAATATTTACTCATAAAACTCTCCCATTAGCACTGCAGGAACTCTCATAGTGGTTTAAAAAAAACATGGCTGCAGAAATACCAACAAGTTAATCATCAAATCCACTCGTACACACAGGCCAAAACTCAAACGCCATTAATTCAAAATCCAGACTCTTAAAATAAATCATTTTCATGCATTTATATAAATCATACACCTTGCATAACAACAGACTGACTCCTGCTTCCTGTTTCAGTACATGAATGACTAGCAGTTAGAAGAATTAGAACTTGTTTAAACACTGAACACTTGTACAACTGAAATAGCATCAATAAGTTTTCAGAAAGTATGTATGCCTCACAAGCCAATTTCACAATATCCATTCTGGAGAAGAATATCTAAACTCGGGCTTTGAAATAACCCGAGAGCTTTAATGTTGGCCTTGAAATATATAAAATATGTTCTAGTATATCTTAAGCTGTTGTTTAGCTTTATATTGTTTGAAATATGGCTTTAGTAATTGCCAAAAGAAAAATTAATTTGGATGAATATTTTTTAACAAAGCAGTGCTGTATGGTGGGAAAAATGTATTACTGTGCCACCTGCTGGCCATGTCTTGCAATTAGAGTGGTAAGTTCTATCAGTTCTATTTACATCTGGAAAAGGGAATTCAAAATAGAAAATTATGACTCAAATCTATGACAAAAAGAACGACAGGAAGAAGTAAGATTTTACAGACTTAATCAGATTTAAATAGTAATGTTCAGTATTGAAGTGTGTTTAAAATCTTTTCCTGTGCTATAGAGTATCAAAATTTAAATTTTAACATTTTTCTTAACCTATTGCATGCCTGACGATTGAGTAAATAACCTCTTAACAGTTTGCCAAAATATGAAATAAATCTTTAACACTTTAGAATTCCTCATCTAATTTCCAATTTTAAATTGCAGAAAATTTAAAAGACACGAAGATCCCAGAAGTAGCTATAAGTCAGGACATGGAAGGGAGAGAGGAACCTGAGAAAATTAGTCACCAAGAAAGTGTTACTGAGCAAATTGTTGGAGCCTCGAGCCACCAAGTTCCTAGCTGCTGGTTGACTTCATTCTAGGATCTTAAAATAAGGGGCTAGTCAATAGTTGATGCATTGATTTTAAGTTCCCAAAATTCCCTAAATTCACAAAATGGTTCTTTAGATTGGAAAATAACAAATGTAAATATTATCCAAAGATAGAGAGAAACAGGCAAAAATAAGACGAGTTAGCTTAATATCTGTCATGGTGATGATGTTAGAAGTGATTATGAAAGAGGTTATAGCTGGACACTTTGAAAAATGAATGGTAATCAGGCAGAGCCAACATAGTTTTGCAAAAGGGAAATCAACCAAGGGAAAAATATTTAACCAATCTATTGGAGTTCTTTGAGAAAGTAACATGACCCTCTTCAGAGGGTCACTGTGGACTCAATGGACCGAATGGCCTACTTCCACACTGTAGGGATTCTATGATTCAGTGTGATGTTGATAGAGGGGAACCAGTAGATATACTATACTTAGATTTCCAGCAGGCATTTGATAACGTGCCACATCAAAAGTTATTCTGGAAAATAAAAGTTAATGGTGTAGGGGATAACATTGGCATTGATGGAGTAAGAAAAAAACCAAAGAACTGCAAATGCTGGAAGCCATAAGCAAAAACAGAAATTGTTGGATAAACTCGGCAGGTCTGGCAGCATTAACATTTCAGATCCAGGGACCCTTCTTCAGAACTGATTCAGGCTTGCTGCAGTCCTCCAGTGAAACTCAGTGCAAGCTGGAAAAACAGCACCTCATTTTCCACTTGGGAACTCTGCAGCCTTCTGGACTCAATATGGAGTTCAACAATTTTAAAGCATAACTAGAAAAGCTAATAGAATGTTATCATTTATTCCAAGGGGGAATGAATTAAAAAACATAGGGAGGCTATGCTTCATTTATGCAGGGCTTTGGTTGGTACTGGAAATGTGTGTACAGTATTGATGTATTGGTCTCCTTAATTAAAGAAGGATGTAAATGTTTTGGAAACCGTACAAAGGTTTGTAAGATAAACACCTGGAATGGGTGGGTTGTCTAATCTGGAAGGGTTGACAAGCTAGATGTGTATTTGCTGGAGTTTAGAAGAATAAGCAGTGACTAGACTGAAACATATTGTATCCTGTCTGATCTTGACATGTTTCTTTACAGAATCTAGAATAAGAACTGCCCATTTAAGGGAGAGAATAGGAAATGTGTTTTTCTTTGATTGTTGTGAGTCTTTGGAACTTTCACCCTGAAAATGTGTTGGAAGCCGAGTACTTGAATATTTTTAAGGTAGAAGTACACCAGAAACAGGAGTAGGAATTCAGCCCCTTGAGCCTGTTTCACAATTAAGTGAGATCATAGCTGATCTGTGGCCTAACTCCCTATCCTTAGATAATCTTTTGTTAAGCAAAGATATTATCTCCGATTTAAAATTAACAACTGGTCCTGCATCCACTGCTGTTTGTGGAAGAGTACCTATAATCTACTACCCTTTGTGTAGAAGTGCTTCTATACTTCTAACCTGATGGTCTGGCTCGAATTCTCAGACTATGCCCCCCTAGTCTAGAATCCCCAACCCAGTGAAAATAGTTTATCCTCATCTACCCTGCTGTTTCCTGCTAATAAACTCAGATCAGATCACTCCTTAACCTTCTAAATTCTAGACAAACAGATCTATTTTCTATAATCTCTCCTCATAACTTAACTCCTGAAGTCTAAGTATGATTCTTATAAACCTACATTGTACTTCCTCCAAGGTCAGTATATCCCTTCTAAGATTTGTTGCCCAGATCTGCTCTCAGTACTCCAACTGGGGCCCAACCAGGGTTTTGTATGACTGAAGCATTACTTCTGCATCCTTGTACTTCAGTCCTCTTGATTATAAAGGCCAGCATTCCATTAGATTTCTTGACTATTTTCTGCATCTGTTTGCAACAGTTTAAAGATCTGTGCACCTGAACCCCCCAAGCGCCTTTGGACGTTCACTGTATCTAACTTCATACATCTAGCAAGTGCCCTGATCTATCCTTTCTCGCTCCAAAATGGAGAACCTCACAATTGAAGTAGATTGATTTGTTAATCAAGGGGGTGAAAGGTTATCGGGAGTAGCCAGGAATATGGAGCAGTCAAATCTGCTATGATCTTATTGAACAGCGGGGCTGGTTTGAGGGCTAACTGGACAACTCCAATTCCTAACTTGTATACTCTTTTTTTTTTACTGCAAACAAAACAACTTGAAACATTTGGTTTGTTTTGCTTTACAATAGTTTGTTTTTTTTTGTTAATAATTTGTTCATTATTATTCACTGTCACAGTATTGTGTTGCTTTTGCATAACTTCATATGTTGAATTCTCAAAACTTTGTCTCCCTGTAGTTTCCAGAGCTTTGAGAATTTTATTGATCCAGTTTTGCATGTTTGAGGTTTGATATTGGTTTTTAAAAAAAAAAAAAAATTTTTACATATTCATTATATCAGAACATTTGTTCAAAATCACCTCAGGGCTGCAGCAGAAAAAATTCATTCCATGGATGATGCATTCAGGCACCAGCTTGAGACCATAAGGGTAGCTCAACAGGCTGAACTTGCACAATTGACCAATGAAAAGCAAAAGGAAATTGAAGCAGCAAAAGAAAAGGTAACATTTTCCCTTCTTTGTACTCTGATGGAATGACTTCGTATAACACTTAATCATATCCCAAGGATGTTCCTAAATGTTTTGCAATCAATGGATTACTAGGATCCTGAAGCTAAATAAAGGAAGGTACAATGGTACAAGGCGCGAGCCAGCTGTGATCAATTGGGAATGTTACACAGTAGATAGGCAATGGCAAACATTTTATAGAGTGTATGGAGGAACTGCAAACAGTTCTGAAAAAGGGTCACTGGACTTAAAACATTAACTACGATTTCTCTCCACAAACGCTGCCGGACCTGCTGTGTTTCTCCAGTAATTTCTGTTTTTGTTCATTGCACAAAAACAAACTGGGAAAGGTGGTATGACCATGGCTAACAGTGGGAATTAAGGATAACATTAAATCCAAGAAAAGGGCATACAAATCAGCAAAAACAAATGCAGCAGAACTGAGGATTGGTAGCAGTTTAGATTTCACTAAAGGAAGACAAAGGGTTGATTAAGAGAGGGAAAACTGAGTATGAGAGTAAAATTGCTGGGAACAGAGAAAGATTAATGAAGACATTTAAATCCCTTATAATCAGGAACAGGGAAGTTATAATGGGAAACAAAGAGATGGCAAACCAATTAAATGTATATTTGGGGTCTATCTTCACAAAGGAGAACTCAAATAATGTCCCAAACATTTTGAGGAGTGCTGGGTCTAATGAGATGGAGGAACTAAAGGATATCAGTATTAATAGGGAAATGTTGGGGAAATTGATGGGATTAAAGGCTAAAAATTCACAGGTAGTCTACATCCCGGAGTACTTAAGGAAATGGCCCCAGAAATATATGGATGCATTGGTGGTCAACTTTCCAAATTCTATAGATTCTGGACTACTGTGAAAATAGTGTAGGATTGGGCAGAATCAACATAGGATTTATGAAAGGGAAATCACGCTTGACTAATTTACTGAAACTTTTGAGGATGTAATCGGTAAAGTTGATGACAGGGAGTTTGTGCATGTAGATTATTTGGATTTTAAGAAGGCATTTGATCAGGTCCTTAAAGGAGATTAGTATGTAAAACTAAAACGCATGAGATTGGGAGTAGTGTACTGACATGGATAGGCAACAGGTTGTCAGACAGGAAACAGATTACACTCTGGCAATAGTACTGAAGACTTGTACTCTAGAACTTCCCACACCCAAGTCAAGCTGTTCCCATACAGTCACAACACTGACATTTAACCAACAATGTGGAAAATTGACCAAGTATATCCTGTACACACAAAGTATGACAAATCCAACCTGGCCAATTGCCGCCCCCATCAGTCTACTCTATATAATCAGTAAAGTGATAGAAGATGTGACATCAACAGTGCTATCTAGCAACACCTGCTCAGCTATAACCTTGTCCCTGATGCCCAGTTTGGGTTTAGCCAGGGCCACTCAGTTCCTGACCTGATTACAGTCTTGGTTCAAACATGGACAGAAGAGCTGAATTCCAGAGGTGAGGTGAGACTGACAGCCCTTGACATCCACGCTGCATTTGACTGAGTGTGGCATTGAGGAGCCCTAGCAAAACTGGAATCTGTGGGCAAACTCAAAGGGGGAAATCTTTCCACTGGTTGGAGTCCTATCTGGCACATGGGTTTGCAGATGATACAAATCTGGTGGGAGGGTGAACTGTGAGGAGGATGCAAAGGTGTTTCAGTGTGATTTGGACCAGTTGGTTGTGGTTGTTGGTCAGTCCTCTCAGCTCCAGGACATCTCTGCAGGAGCTCTTCAGGGTAGTGTCCTAGGCCAACCATCTTCAGCTGCTTCATGAATCACCTTCCCTCCATGATAAGGTCAGAAGTGGGGATGTTCATTGATGATTACACATTGTTCAGTACCATTTGTGACTCCTCAGAGACTGAAGCAGTCCATGTTCAAATGCAACAAGATCTGGACAATATCCAGGCTTGGGCTTACAAGTGGCAAGTAACATTCTTGCCACACAAATGCCAGGCAATGACCATCTCCAATAAGAGATTATCTAACCTTACCATCACTGAATCCCCCACTATCAACATCCTGGTGGTTACCATTGACCAGAACCTCAACTGGACTCGCCACATAAACACTGCAGCTACAAGAACAGGTTAGAGTCTAAGAAAACTGTGGTGAGTAACTCACCCCCTGAGTCCCCATCTACAAGGCACAAGTGTGAATACTCCCCACTTGCCTAGATTGGTGCAGCTCTAACAACACGTAAGCATCTTCACACCATCCAGGACAAAGGAGCACACTTAATTGGCACCACATGCACAAGTATCCAATCCCTCCACTACAGATGTTCAGTTGCAGCAGTGTGTACCATCTACAAGAAATTGCAGAAATTCACCTATGCTCCTTAAGTGGCACCTTCAAATCCATGAACACTTCCATCTTGAAGGAAAATATAGTAGATACATGGGAACACCACCACCTGCAAGCTCCCCTCCAAGTCACACACCATCCTGACTTGGATATGTATCGCTGTTCCTTCACTGGCGCTGGGTCAAAATCCTGGAATTCTCTCCCTAAGAGAATGTGAGGTCAACCTACAGCACATGGACTGCTGCAGTTCAAAAAGACAGCTCACCACAGCCTTCTCAAAGGCAAGTAGGGAGGGCAATAAATGCTGATCAGCCATTGTTCCATTAGAAAAAAATAAACGGGTCATTTTCCAAGTGGCAGCCAGTGACTAGTGGGCATCACGGACTTCAGTGCTTGAACCCCAGCTATTAATATATATTAGTACAATTTAATGATTCACATGGGGGAATTAAATGTAATAGCTCTGGGTTTGCAGATGATACAAATCTGGTGAGAGGGTGAACTGTGAGGAGGATGCAGAGATGTTTCAGTGTGATTTGGACCAGTTGATTGAATGAGCAGATGAAGCATAATGTAAATAAATGTGAAGTTATCCACTTTGATTACAAAAACATAAAAGTAGTTTATTATCTGGCTATAATTTGAGAAAAGGGAGTGTGCAGTGAGACCTTGTGGTGTCCTTGTATACCAGTCGTTGAACGTAAACACGCAGGTTCAAAAGATGGTGAAAACAGCAAAAAGTATGTTGGCCTTCATTGCAAGAGGATTCAAGTTGGGATGTCTTGCTGAATTGTACAGCACCTTGGTGATGCCAGACTGATTCCTGGGGTGGCAGGACTGACATATGAAGAGATACTGGATCGGTTAGGACAATATTTACTGGGGTTTAGAAGAATGAAAGGGGCCTATAAAACTCTTGTAACAGGACTAAATGGCTTAAATGCAGGAAGGATGTTCCCAAACACCGGAGAGTCCAGAACTCAGGGTCACAGTCTAAGGATCCGGGGTAAACCATAGGATTGGGATGAGGAGAAATGTCTTCACCCATTGAGCAGTGTGCCTGTGAAAAGTGCCATTGAAAGTGGCTGAGGCCAAAACGTGGTTGAATGTATTCAAAAAGGAGTTAGATAGAGACATTTCTTACTTAAGGGATCACAGGGTCAGAGGAGAAACGACAACAGAATACTGAGTTGGATGATCATTTTGAATGATTTACTCCTATTTTCTATACTTGTTAAGACATAGTTACAGGTTTTAACAAAATAAGTATACCAGCCAATGTATACACAGCAAGGCTCCAGAAACATTCAAACGTATGAATGGGCAGAGAATCCATTTTAGGTGCTGTTGATTGAAGCAGAAACATTGGAAAGGATATCCTATTCTGCTATCAGTTTTAACGAAAAAAAAATTCATCCAGTATTGCATGGAAATAAGAGGAGATTACTGGAAGATTTGTTTTTCCGTTGTTGTGCCAGGATCTATTAGATTGTCTAAATATAGAGAGGCAGATGAGCAAGATCTAATACAGGTAGTAGACTCAATTTGATTTTATTTTGTCTGTTTTAATTAATTGGCAAAAACAGGACAAGTTCTGAAAGAGCTGAATGATGCACATTATAACTTAAAACCAAGTATATGCCCAGGTGCAAGTCTAGGTTAAACAAGTGAGCATTTCCATCTCAGCCTGGGACTCTTGTGACAGTGTTCGTGTTCGTACCTCTGGACCAGGAGGCTCCGGTTCAAGTTCCATCTGCTTCGGAGGTCAGTCATGACATCTCTGAACAAATTGATATAGACAATACCTAAACTAGTCAGCAACTTCCAAACATGCACCACTCTGGTTGAAAATGCTTGTAATACGGGGAAATGTGATGAGTTGGACCAAAATTGGCACAGTGACAAGAAATAAAGGGCAATGTCAGTAAATGTTTCTGTAAATGGAAGGTGATTTCCACTGGTGTTCTACAGGGCTCTGTTGTGCCCCTTGCTGATTGTGGTATATGTTAATGACTTGGTGTTAAGGGTGGGAGGAATGTTTGGGAACACACTGTAGGTATTCTATGATTCTAGAGTGAATAGGCTAGTGTTGCCTTCCTTAGAACAGTGGAAGCTGAGGGGTGACATTTGAAGTTCTACACTGTCCTCCTTGCAATACACAATGCTCCAAGTTTTGTGTCATCCACAAACCTTGAAAGTGTCCCCTGCACACCGAGGTGTAGATCATTTATATAAATCAGGAAAAGCAAGGTTCCAATGCCAACCCCTGGGGAACTCCACGACAAATTTTCTTCCAGTTTAAAAAAAAACTTAGTAACCTTTACTATTCCTAAGCCAATTTTGTGTCCACGTTGCTACAATCCCTTTTATTCCATGACCAATAGCTTTCCTCCAGTCTACTGTGTGTTACCGTATCGACTCCCCTCATCAACCCTCTCAATTACCCCTTGAGAAAAATTCTAGCAAGTAAGTTGAATGTGATTTTCCCTTAACAAATCAATGGTGACTCTTATGAATCAATTTATACTTTTCCATATGACTATTCCATCTATCTTGAATAAATGCTTCTGACAGTCTCTACTCTTCAATATGCTACATCTTTCCACATTTAATCCCTTGACCAATTATTTGGTTTAAAGCCCTCTCTATTTTTTTAGTTCTGTAGTTCACAAGAACACTGATCTCAGTACAGTTCAGATATAGACCATCCTGACAATGCATTCCCCAGTTTCCCAATGAACTGGACCATCTCCCAGGTCAGTCCTTGAGCCATATATTTATCTGTCTTATGTATCCCATGCCAATTTGCACATGGCTCAGGTAATAATTCAGATTATAACCTTTTAGGTTCTGCTTTTCTATTTTAATGCCTGACTCCTAAAACCGTATATGCAGAACCTCTTTCCATGTTCTTGATACCTGCAAGAGCCATGACAACTAGATGTCCTGAATCCTGGAACCTGACAGGCATCACAGCATCCGAACTTTGCTTTTTCCTTAAAGAAAATTATCAGTCCCCCTCACTATATTATTCCTCGTTGCTTCTGTGACTTGAATGGCTCCTGTACCAAACTGAAGTTGCTCATCCATCCTGCAACTCCTGTTCTCCAAACAAACTGAGAGAACCTCCAAATCTATTGGACAATTGCAGGGGCTGACACACCTGCACTGTCACTGTCACTGTCTCTGGGTAACCTTATCTGTTACACCCAACTGTCCCTGACAACTGACCAAGATCAGCAGACATGTTTCCTGGTACAAAGAATCCAAGAATTTAAGTTCTCACAGCAGTGTATTAGCTTGTCTAAGCTGAAGGAAAAAAATAACCTGCACAGGTAATTTAGACTAGATTAGATTTTAAGAATAAATTTAGCACAAAGTAACCCACTCAACAAAGTGAAAACTGCACTCAGTTTCCTCAAATGCAAAATTTTATATATTTATACTGAGACTGGTAACGTGTTATGTAATAGTTAACAAATGGTATGGCAATTCTTTAAACTGAATTTATGCACTTAATTTTCTAAGTATTATTATTTTGGATACATTGTTCTTAGTTTGCAACTTGATGCTATTCACTCTTCACATGAATTCTTATAAGATAAAATGTAATCATGTCACAAATCCTTTAGGTCTATGAAGTGGAGGAAGAAATGCGCCAGCTTCTCCAAGAAACAGCAAATGCCAAAAAATCCATGGAGGAAAAGATTCGGAAGCTGACCAGTGCCCTCAATGATATTAAAGAGGAATTGTGAGGCTACAACAGACAAGAATCCAATAATAAAATCCAAGTTACTAAATTGCTATTGTTTCGAAAATTACTGTTATCTCCATTTGAATGCTTGGATAGTGGATCTTCTTTGGCTTATTACTCAGTTTGATGTAATGTGGAATACAGACTAATATGACCTAAATTCAGTTCCTGATTTGTGCTGTCTCTTGTCAGCCAAATAGATGTCACAATTGACTTTACTGACTACAGGCAGGAGGGTAAACATTTAGTCCAATACTCTTGGAGTATTAGAAGACATAAGAACTAGGAGCAGGAGAAGGCCGTCTGGCCCTTCAAGCCTGCTCTACCATTCAATAAGATCATGGCTGATCCTTTTGTGGACTCAGATCCACTTACCCACGTTCTCACCGTATCCCTTAATTCCTTTATTGTTCAAAAAAAATCTACCACTTTTTAAAAGCATTTACTGAAGTAGCGTCAACTACTTCACTGGGCAAGGAATTCCATAGATTAACAACCCTCTGGGTGAAGAAATTCCTTCTCAGTTCAGTCCTAAATCTGCTCCCTCTAATCTTGAGGCTATGCCCTCTTGTCCTAGCTTCACCTGCCAGTGGAAACATCCTCTCTACTTCTATCTTATCTATTCCCTTCATAATTTTATATGTTTCTATAAGATCCCCCCTCAATCTTCTGAATTCCAATGAATATAATCCCAATCTACTCAGTCTCTCCTCATAAGCCAACCCCCTCAACTCTGGAATCAACCTAGTGAACCTCCTTTGCACCCCCTCCAGTGCCAGTACATCCTTTCTCAAGTAAGGAGACCAAAACTGCACACAGTACTCCAGGTGTGGCCTCACCAGCACCTTGTACAGCTGCAACATAACCTCTCTGCTTTTAATTTCAATCCCTTTAGCAATGAAGGACAAAATTCCATTTGCCTTCCTAATTACTTGTTGTACCTGCAGACCTACCTTCTGTGATTCATAAAGACTTCTCTGCGTGAACAATATAGCAGCATGAGTGATGGCTATAGAATAGGAAAGGAATAAAATTGACAGAAATCAATAGAAAAGTTTAGTGGTTTCTTGAATTTTTACTACGTCATGATTCCAAGATTTTTTTTTGTGTAATGGATATACTTTAATGTGAAAACTTTATGCTGGTAGAGCTTCTTGCTATCTTCATTAAGCATCAGCTTGATTTGACATCAAAGAATTCATCCATATTAATTTTTTCATTCACACAATTAGTTTCTTATTTTTGTATAAAAGAAAAATTCATTCATGCTAGTTCATTGTATAACTGTAACTGAACGATAATGAGCTGAAAGACTTCTGACTATCACTGGAGGAAAACACTGATTTGAATTTATATCGACATAAGTATTCATACCTTCTCTCGTGAGGCATGAAAGAGGAGAGAAGGGAGAGTAAAACAAATTAAATAGAATGTTCATGCCTGGCTATGCTGTTGGTACATAATATAAATGTTTGGGAGAATATCAAAATATAAATCTGACATTTTTATAGGTTACTTTTATTGGTTAGTTTCAACTTTATAAATACCTTTTGTAAAGATGGTGATAAATGTGTTAAGTTTTATTTATTTAAAGTATGGAAAAATAATATTTTGTACTCGCCTCACTAAAATTATTTAAATTTACTTTAATGTATTGTCTGTTCATTCTTCTACATGTGGAACGTAAGTTTTAAATGATAAGATTCGATACCTACAAGCTTCCATGTAAAATCTAATTGAAGGGAATTGTTTGCTTCTAAATTATTGTTGTATTGATCCAACTTCACCATTGTATAGTCTTTCCAAATCCATTGTCGTATCTGCATTAGAACATAAGTAACAGGAGTAAGAACTGATCATTCAGTCCTTCGAGACTGTTCTCTCTTTCAAGACCATCACTAATCTTCTACCTTTGTCCCATCCCTGGCACCTTGCTCTCATATCCTTTAATTCCCTCAGTATCAAGAAATATATTATTGCCTGTCTTTAGCATACTCTAATGATTGATTAGTATAGATAATGTAAAAGATTTACAGCCATTTTAAAAAAGATCTCCCCTTTTCCCAGTCCTGAACAGTTGATCCATTGTTCTGACAATGTGATCGATGGTTCTAGACGTTGAACAGGGGAAACATACTCTCAGCATTTACACTTTATAACCTTAATATTAAGGGCCATTTCCTGTCCTGACCCTGTTTAGCAGAGATCTCTCTCATTGTGGTGATTCAAAGCTTGTCATTCCCCAGATCAGGTTTGTCACAAGGAACTTGTCAGTGAGTTCCATTTCCAGTACCATGATCCAAAGAATGTTTGTTGGTAAATCTTACTCTGGCAGGTTACTCCATATGGGATGCTGAGATGGAAAACAGGCAGTGGGTGGGTTGAACAGATCATAGGGTTGGTGAGTGAGGTGCAGCAGAGATGGTTTCAACCAGCTTGTTGATACTTATGAATTGGTGAATGTGTGGGGCATACTGTTTCAAGGACCAGAAGCCATTGGAGAGATGATGAGCGCAGTTATGAGACACATTGTTGCATTTAATTGAATGAGCACAAGATATGTAAGTGAGATGAGCTTTGCCAAACAGATACATGGTACTCTGCTGTGGGGTTTGGTAAGTCAAACGCTGAGGTCCCAGACGTTATGACAGCAGTGCTCCAGCAAGTTTGGTTAGCGATTGTTGCTAATTTTGATCTTTGCTATTGTTTTCTTCATATGTTCCCAGAAGTACCAAATCTCATTAAGATTAAGTAACATTCATGTTGTGCCCCCTGACAGTAACCAGGTAACCCTGCAGGAAGCAAATTATGTTGCCAGCAGACTGGATTGCAAGAGAAATTTACCAAATTCTCAAAATGCCTTCTTGCAGACTTCCAGTCACTCCGGAACTGAATATTTCAACACTGAGTAGTAACAAATTAAGTTTTCTTAATGCAAGTCTTAATTTCTGCATCATTGACTATTCCAATCAAAGATAATGAAAACTTTTGCTCTTGTTATCAAATCACTAAAGTTTGATTATATACAAGTATGCAATGGTACATCATGAAGTCCCTCATTGTTTCACCTTGGAGATAGTCAGTACTGTATGGTCAGCCTCCATTTAACAGTTCAATGGTTACTATTTTGAAGTGCAGTAGTATATAATACTTGGTAGACTTCAGGGTAGACAGATATAACTCCTTATGAAACTCATTTAACTTTCCTTACTTTAATGTATAACAATGTATTACTTCTATCTTTCAATATTTTCCCCTCAACATTTTCAGTCGTAAAATCTGATGCAGAAGCATGCCTTTGGCCATTAACAACTGTCCATATCCTCTCTTATTGCATTTCAATGTGCAAGTTTCAATTACTCAAATTTATTTATAATCTGTATTTCAGTTGAAAGTTGAGATTTCTGATTGTAGCATATATTGTAATCCTCCTAAACTTAGCAAAATTCATTTCTTTCAACTTCTCATGAGCTAGTCCAAGGTAGATCATCAATTATAATATTAAATTCAACATATTCTGAATTCTTCTGGAAACCTTTTTAGCTGTGCTATTTAGCAATACTGTAGCATACTGTTACACTTTGTTCTCAGGTTTCTACAATTGCTGGGTAGGGCCACTGGATGGCGCTTGAGGACAAATTGTTTCTATTTTTCAAACCTAGCTCAACAAAAGATAAAGTTGCCACAGTCCCAAAGGACCGTAGGGCTGCTCTCTGATAGTTATACAGCACAGAAACATACCGTTCGGTCCAATTAGTCCATGCTGAACATAATCCCAAACTAAACTAGTCGCACCTGCCTGCTGCTGGCCTATATCCCTCCAAACCTTTCCTATTCATGTATTTATCCAAATGTCTTTTAAACTTGGTAATTGTACCCACATCCACCACTTCCTCAGGAAGTTCATTCCACATGCAAACCACCCTCTGTTTAAAAAAAATCTGCCTCGTGTCTTTTTTTAAATCTTTCTCCTCTCACCTTAAAAATGTGCCCTCTAGTCTTGAAATCCCCCATCCTGTGGAAAAGACAATCACCATTAACTCTATCTACACCTCTCGTTATTTTATAAACTTGTATCAGATTGCCTCTTAATCTCCTATGCTCCTGTGGAAAAAAATGCTAGCCTATCCAGCTTTTCTTTACAACTCGAACCTTCCACACCCAGCAACATCCTGGTAAATCTCTTCTGAACCCTCTCCAGCTTGATAATGTCCTTCCTATAACTGGGCGACCAGAACTGGACACAGTATTCCAGAAGAAATGTCACCAATGTCCTGTACAACCGCAACATTACTTCCCAACTCCTATACTCAAAGGACTGAGCAATGAAGGAAAGCACCCTGTCCGTATGTGATGCAAGCTTCAAAGAATTATGTACCTACAACCCTAGGTCCCTCTGTTCTGCAACACTACCCAAGGCCCTAACAATAATTGTATAAGCCCTCCCCTCGTTTGTTGTACCAAAATGCAATACCTTGCACTTATACTGATTGATCTCCTTCTGACATTTTTCAGCCCATTGATCCATTTGATCAAGATCCCTTTGTAGTCTCATTGGAGACTCAGGCAAGGGCAAGGTTGAGATGGCGCAACATTCACAGTAACCTCAATTTGTGCAAGAATTAAACCCATATTATTGGCATCTGCATCACAAACCAGTCATTAAACCAACTGAGCTAACAGATTCCCTGGTCCTCACTCAGTGATGGAATCATTTAATCACAAAAGGAGAAGTTCTGGATGGCTGGTGCTCTACAGGATCAATTTAACCAGTTCCACTCACTGACCTTTGCCTTTAGCTCTGCATTTACACTTTTCTATTCAAGTTCTGTTCTGAATGCCACAATTGAATTTGCCACCACTATATTTTCAGGTAGTACGTCCAAGATCATGAACAAATCCCAGTGTAAAAACATGTTTCCTCATTACTAATTACGTTAAATTTGCACGCGTTAGTTTTCACCCCTTCCTCCAAAGCAAACAGTTTGTTTGAACTTGAACACTTATTAATTTTCCTTTTAATCCTCTCAATTCTTTCTTTAAAGG